TTTATTTATTTATTTATTTATTTATTTTTGAGACAGAGTCTCACTCTGTCACTGCCTAGGCTGGAGTGCAGTGGGGCGATCTTGGCTCACTGCAACCTCTGTCTCCCAGGTTCAAGTGATTCTCCTGTCTCAGCCCCCTGAGTAGCTGGGACTACAGGCACGCACCACCATGCAGGCTAATTTTTTGTACTCTTTTTTGTAGAGACAGAGTTTCGCCATGTTGCCCAGGCTGGTCTTGAACTCCTGGGCTCAGATACTCTGCTGACCTCAGCCTCCCAAAGTGCTAGGATTGCAGGCATGAGCCACCACACCCAGCCCATGAGGGCCTGATTTTATAAATGAAATGATATTTTACTTTATCTTCTAGTAATAGTTATCCATTTCAGATTTTGTGCCATTTAAAAAAATTATGGATAATAAAACTACCTATTTAAAGATCATTATGAAAAAATGTCAGACTAACTCTCCCTTAACAACTTCTTGCCTAAAAATGCACAAATATTCAGATTCCAGAAAACTAATGATGATGTGAATCTTCAATCTCTGATAGAGACGGGTTGATCCAGTGATACATGACTAGACAAATATGGTTGTACCCAGTGATCAAGGGCAACATTTTGGTTTTATTTATCTTTTCAAGGGTATGTTTTAAGGACTATTTACATGTCACATGTTCTGGCTACAAAGAATAAAAGACCAGAATCACAGGTTATTACAGATCATTACTGTAACAAATTATTTTTGTTGGTATTCTCTTTCTTCGGAATCTATTTTAAAAAGTCACTGCTAAAGCACAGCTTTTATCACATTAATACTAATCCCAAGGACACTCAAACACACATACACATTTCAATGCCTTCAGGGAAACATTAAAAGATTCATCTCAAGTATCTAATTTCCAGCCCTATCTGTCACAACTTTCCAGCTTGAATCACAAGCTCACCCCCTGTTCTCTGCCTCTGAAGCCTTGCCCTTCAACCCCTTTCTCACCTGAACTATCTTCACAAATACTTTATAACAATTAAAATCCCATTTGTAATTCAATACCAGCTGAAATCTAGCTATCCTCATGAACTTTCTATGACCAGTTTAGCCCACACTATCGTCCCATTTCTTTCTTTTCATAGTACTCATCATCTTTATCATATTGATAAGCAACTATTATTCACCCAAATAATGTAATTATTACTTTTGTACATTTTACCTCAATGAAACTGTAAATTCCCTACAGCCAAGCACTGTCTTAAACATATTCTCTCAATATAATCTATTAAATCTGATCACTTCTTAATGGGTAGAAAAGAGATCACTGACAGTGGCACAAGGAGAATGGCTCCTATAAATCAGGGCTGGGGTATGTGTTTGTGTACATATATTTTCCCCAAAATTTCCTAAATAAAATTTTCCAATTGAAAAATATTCCACTCTGCTGTCCCATAAATAACTGAAATTTCCTGGGAACAATACAAATTTAATATCAAAATTAAAGATGCCTGTCATAACTAATGACAGCTCAGATATTTTCTGAAAGATCATGTGTCCTGATACTTGGTTAAGTAAGTATAGTGAATCCTCCCATAGTTTACTGCCTTTACTGTGAACTCAATTTTCATGGGTCTATTTAGTTGAGTTCCCAGAAGCGGTGTCGGGGAAGTAGAGAAGTCACAAGCCTTCGGGAAAAGTAAACATGCTCTCAAACCAAGAGAGTAGGTCAAAAACAGGGAATCCCAACTTACCAGAGGTCCAGCTGAAAAAAACACAGCAGCCACAATCTCTGCTTCTGGCTTCCCCTCTCTGGAAAGAGTGCAGTCTTGCAGAGACATATCTAAGGAAGAGAATAAGCCATGAAAACCAATCCTGCCTGGGGAATTTCAGACTTACCAAGTTGGAATCCTGACATAGAAGTGAGCATGGCCTCCCTAAGGAAGCACAAGAGTAACCCTTAAGATCAGTGAAGGACAAAGACCCTTGCTCCTGTAGAGCTCGAGATTTTAGCACTGTTAACTATAGTCACAACTAACAGGCTAGCCATTGTACAAGGAGGTTTTAAAATATTTTCTCAAGTTATTTTCACATCAACCTAATAGGAATAATATTCCCATTCCATAGATGAGGAAACTGAGTCTAGAAAAATTAAACTACCCAAGGCCATGCAAATACATGACTCCAAATCAATCTA